CTGGACCTCCGCCAGCACCATGGCGTAGGCAGCGGCCACCCCCTGCACCACGCCCTCCACCTCCACGCGCGAGCAACCGCTCTGCTCCTTGAACATCAGGTCGCACCAGTCCGTGACCACGCTCTCGATGGCGTCCTCCGCCTCTGCCTGGGCCTGCGGGGCAAGATTTGTTACGAGAGCGAGGAGGGGCCAGGTCATGCAGAGGACACCCACTCCCAAGCAGGCGCATGCGAGACTCTTTTCCATTTTGTGAAAAGATAGTGTAGAGTCTCCGACGCGCAATGATGGGCCTGTGGTGTCGGCAGCTCCGAGGGTCAGCGCGCCTGCCCAGAAACCGTCGACCACGGAAACTTCGAAGCCGATTTCCGACTGCAGGACGCGCGCGATGGCGCCCCATCGGCCCGTTCCAGGGGCAGCCGCCAGGGATGGACCGACCTTGCCAGTCGGGAGATCGACTGGAGATCCGCAGGTGAGGGGGGATCAAATTAGAGCACGGTACCGGCCAGCTTGCCGCCTCCGACCCGTAAGCGCACGAACGTGCATGTTTAAACATTCACAACGTTGTAGCCACCGCGCGGCGCGCCCACCTGACAGAGGGACGAGCCCTTGGCCCTGCCGCTGCCCTGTCCAACGAGGCTCAGCGTGGCGGAGGAGCTCGACTTGCAGCTTGTCTTGGTGCGCTGCAGCAGTCCTTGGAATGCACAGAAAGGCGCGGCCGGTCAGCAACGCAGGCGGTCATCGGCGCCAACGTGAGACCCCGCTGGACGCAATGCCGACTTCCTATCGGCCTCCAGCGCCCACCCGACGCGGGGACTGACAGGGAAGATTGCATTTTGCGCGGCCGGCGTGCACGTGGAAGTGATGGCCCGGGGCGCGCAAATCCGAGTTGAGGACAAGCAGAAGGGGGGAGCGGTAGCGAGCAAGCGCGCTCAGATGCGATGGAGGCATTTCCTTGCAGTACCTCGCCCCTCTGCGGGGGACAGCCCCAGCAGCAGCGCGCACATGCACGCGAACGCCACCGCCGCGCGGGCCATGGGCGCTTCGTCTGCGTTCTGTCCTGCTCGCTGACAGTGGAAATGGGGACCTCGCGGCTGCTCGGGTCGGCGCCCAGGTGTTCGAGGCGCCGTTTGCGATTCTGAACTTGGGGGCCCTGCGCTGCTGGTGATGGTTAAGAAGAGGGCAGGCGCCCCGACGTGCACAGTACCGTCGACCCGACATTGCGCACTCGCGTTCACACACCCAACGGGGCCTCGGCGTGGCACGTACAAGTTGAGTCACCGGGTAGGAGTGACCGCGCGCTGGTGGGAGTGCACCGGTTGATGGGCCGCCGGCTCGCCGGCAAGCGAGGTACCGCTCGCCCTGAGTGCCGTCTAACGTTTCTGAACAGTGGGGTGACCCGCGGCCGGGTGGCACCACCACGCAGCCCCCGCCCCAAGGCTTCGGGGAGCGATATGACGGGCGGGGCTGTGCCGCGATACGACAAACGACCGCTTCGCAAGGGAATTCGAGCCATCTGCAGCTGGCGCACTCCAACGGACACTCCAATGGACGCTCCAACTGAGAATTCCGATGATTACCGTATTCTGCCTAAACCGTGACGCAGCGCGGAAGCGTACGCAACGCAATATTTTGGCTGCATTTTCTTGGACGCGACAGCAGCGCAGTGTCCATTAATGTTCACTCTATGTCCGCTATATTAGTTTCCGGTAATGGACACTGCGCCGTCACCGCATCCAAAAACATACAGTCAGGGTGTTGCATTGTGTGTGCATTGCGCCACGGTTTAGGTAGAACACGGTAAGCATCGGAATTGTCAGAGATATTAGGTAATGGGGGCCAATGGCCCAATGCCTTGGCATGGGTGCCAGTGGGCTCGAGAGCGAATTCACAGTCATCGACTCAAGATGATTTGCATCAGTCGTCGTGGGAGCAAAGAAGTTGAGCCTTGATTTAAAGCGAAAGAGCCAACGCATTCCCTCCCCGTGCACACTTGCGTTTGGTGCACAGAGCCATTCTGTTGCGCTCCAAGGCGAAATCGCGCAACAGCACAACTGCACAGCTGCTGGCTGTGCAGCGGGTATGCATCACGTTGCAGGCTTGGTTTCTACGCCGTAAAACTGAACTTATTTATGTTTCCACGCGCAAAGACACGTAAAAATACGTAAATACAACGTAAATACAGTCTGGTATACATAAGGACAGTACATACAGAATTGGGAACTCCGGGGAGTGGCAGTCAGACGCGCTGGAGTGGGTAGAGCATGAACTTTTGTTCCATGCCGTCGTTGCTCTTGCCAAAGGCGAGGTGGTCACTGTGTTGCAGGTGCTGGAGATGGCGGAGGACCGATCATTGTACGCAACTTTCATCGCGTACCCTGGCTGCAACGAACCGCAAAACCGTAAAATATTTCCTCTGTCCAAGATTAATTGTACTCTATTTAAAAGACAGAATTCGTTACAAGGACTGCCTCAGAATGGAAAACAAATTTCAGAAACGGAAAAACTAGGTTGCAAAACCCTTAGCTACCAATTTTCAAGAATATGAAATGAGACACGAGCCCTTTGAGCATTAGGGGGAAGGTAAGTTTTGGTCATTTTTGACCCCAAATACCGAGGTTCACTAGGTAAAAGAACACTGGTACAAAGAGCTGCCATATCCTCAATACTTAGTGAGTTGGCTTGAAATTTTGATAGTATGCCCCAAACTTACAACCACAACTTTGGACGAAATTTCATTGAAAACTAATGTAAGTACTATGGAAAAGTCGTGCCGCATAATCATAGAGGACAATTATTCTTGGACGGAGGAAGTAGCTGTTAAAATAGCCCTTTTTGCAATTTGCGTTTTTTGTGCGCAAATACATAAACGCAGAAGCAAAAGCCAAGCTTGGCACGTTTCATGAGCGGAACTACTTTCCCCTGTGCACAGTGATCAGATTGGTGGTCTTCCTATCATCTCTTCTCGCATGGCTGCTCGGTCTCGAGAAGCGCATCCGTGTGCGAACTCAAGCCTCCAAGCATCTGAAGGCTCGAGTTTGCCTTTGTTTTTGCAGCTGAGCCCTAACACCACTGAAAGCTGTATTATGGACTGCCAACACTGCAATGATCCATTCCCACTGGAAGGAGGGGGACAGGCAATTTCTGGCAATCTTCGCACGTCGGCGGCCGGGTTTTTCGCACCGTCGCCCGCAGGGCCCTTATCCTTCTCGCCCTTCGACTAATTGATCGTGAACACATTCCGTTTTCAGTTGCTGCGTATTCCTTAAATTGCGCAAAACAATGACGGGCAGGTTTTGCGTGCCGCCGTTGAAACAGCGCCAGCTCTTGCTCATGCTGCGCATGTCATCTTTCCCAAGCAGGGAGCATCGCCCCGGCAATTTCGACACTGCTTTTTGGTACATGTTTTTATTGCGAAGCCTTTTAATTTTCAATCATTTAGTTAGCAAAATCAGGCTTGGTTTTTAAGTTTACTTTTACGGTTTTACGCACAAAACCGTAAATTTGGGGATGGGGCTATTTTTGCCGGCTATTTTTACATTTATGTGGCTGGTTGGGACAGCTAGATTACACGATGAAAGTCAATGTCCAGTCCTCGGCCATCTCCAGCACTTACTCACAGTGCCCACCTCACCCTCGGCAAGGGCAACAAGGGCATGGAACAGAAATTCATTTTCTACCCATTATAGCGCCTCTGACTACCATTTCCCGGACTCCCCGACTCTGTATTTACTGTCCTTATGTACGCGAGGCTGAATTTGCATTATATTTACGCTTTCTCCTCGTTTTTGCGCTAAAAGACATAAATACATTCATTTTTCACGGTGTAAGAACTAAGTCTGAGTAAAATGACCAACATTTGAACTTGATGCGCCGTTTTCAGTAAACTGCCTCCGCAGACTATGGACTGGGATGTGGTGGCAACCACAGAGTTGCACGCTTGCCCGCGCAGTCCACACAGAGATTTCAGTCGCCCATGGTGGATCAGCATGCTTGGCACAAGCACGATCGGCGCAACAGGCGCGAGGCATCACCCTCGAAATCAACCACCGTCTCTCAACATCCATCGCTCCCCCCACATCTCCAGGAACTTTTCCACTATCCAATCCCCTGTGTTTGTGCTCACTGCGCAGCGAAATCCTACATGAACGAATTTTCATCACAGCCTAAGGTGGGTTATGCTTGCGGTGTGTCGTTTCCATGCAGCGGCACCCCTGTGCCTTTTCGAAGCGGTCGTTTCTCTAAGCATCGTTCTGCGCACGCGCCCATGCGCTTGATCGGGCAGCCTTCGCATCAATTTTCAAAATTTGCATCTCCAGCGTCGCACGGAAGTGATCTATGAATACCCGGCGCCATCTCTCGGCGACACGGCGGACACATTCCGTGCTCAGAGCCAGTGCTGCGCGGTCCCTGGGGGCCAAAGTGCCCTAAAAGCAGGCGCACGTCAAAGTCTCCTTCCTCCAAATGGGAGGGCCGTCGGTGAAGCTGATGAGCTTTGTTGCGAAGCACCTGTGCGCAATGCAGGGACGCTGATGAAAAGGCAGGCACTTGTCATGGTTCTGACGAAGGTCTTCGAATTCACTCAAATTGCAAACAAGTACAGGCACATAGTGTGAACGCATTTCATTGGCTTAAAATGGTAACCGCACAGACAATAGACTTAAATTCGATGCATTTGGGTGAGTGCGCGCCTCGCTAAAAATTAAGTTTTATGCTGCAGGCGTCATGTCCCATGAACCCACCCCAATACCCAATCGTACAGCCCAACCCTACAACCAAACTGCATAATACGCTTGGCGACAAAAGTGCCAGATGTTTTCTGCATCGAAAATTGATTGGCGCAGAAAAAAACCGTTGTCAAGCATGCGCAAATCCATAGCGCACATGAATGGTAAATGCGCGGACTAGAGAAATCGGCGCCAAGTGCTGCGGGTGAGCGGCTGCCTGAACACGTACCTCTCTCCACAAGTGCAGATGCGGGTGGTGTCGGTGTCGCAGCACACCTCCAGCTCGGTTCCTTCGCACGACACGGGCTGAGATCCCCCCACGGCAGCGTTGCCCTCCGTGAAGTTTACAACGTCCTGTGCCACGGTGCCGTTGATGTCCGCGTCGGCCGTCAGCTCCGTGCTCTCGAAGGTCACGCCATCCGTGCCTGCGAGCGTTGCAGACGCAGCTCAGGACAATGCGCACCTTCCGAGTTGGCATCTTGGTGCATTTGCTTTGTAATTCTTGCCGCGAGCGAGACTCAACATCATGTCCTTACAGCATGGACAAGAGGGTGTTACTATTATAAAATATATTGAAATATACAAAAGAATAATATTACCACAGGAGGTGCCCACTGTATGACATGCTTCTTTGATTTGAAGTCTTACCCTATGATCTGGTTTTTGCGGATACTGTCTATGTCACAATTTTGGCCCGACTGGTGCGCAGACTACTTGGGCTGAATTGCTGGAGCGCTCATGAGCGTGCGTTTGGCAATTCTTGTTGATGTTCACCGCAATGCGCGCTTCAACAAAACGTGAAATACTCAGTGTCAAGGGAAACTGGAGACCTTGTGCTCCCTTGCTCGCTGGCAAAAATTAGTGTGACTGCATGGCACTGCAAATGGGGCGAGCTCGCAAGCCAGTCCCTAGAATGTTTTACTGATAACAATGTCATTACATATAAAGTGCACATGCAGTTCCCGTACAACGGAATCATAGCTTAGGTGCTGCTACAACTTCGAGGAGTAAGACGCTGCAGACATTCCCCGCAAAGTACAAACACGATTGGCCTGTGGCGATAAACATCAACAAGCTATTTCTGACAATACTTTTAAGATTTCCTGCATCTTAAGTAACAACCACTTTTCGAAAAAACGCAATCGTCACCCAGCTCGACCGAATGATGAGCCAGTCGGCAAGGGCGAAGCTCGCGGAAGCCGCCATCCAGCCACGCCCTGCCGTGATCAAACACATGCGCACCCCGCCAGATATTGGTCGACCCCCACCACCCACCCCACTTCTTACAGAGAGAAGAGAGAAAAGAGAGAAAAGGAAGAAGAAAAAGAAGATTTCCAACCCTGGCGCTGCAACAGTCCGTTATGCATGTCGCCACCGTGGTACCTCTTGAAGGAGAAAAGGGAGACAATGTGAAAAAGGGAAAAAGGAAGAAATGGAAAAAAGGGAAAAAAGAAAAGAAAAGAAAAGAAAGAGGACAACACCACAAGGGGCCGTCTGACTCACCGAACCCCCGCGCCTGGCACAGCCGGATAGCCGCCCTGCCGAACAGGGTGCCGTACGCCACCGCCGCCTGATCCGCCACGCTCTGCTGCGCATCCCTCACTGGCCCGCCGGTGGTGCAGACCTCGCTGAAGGCCGCCGCGTAGGCCTCCGCCAGGGCCGCCGAGATCGCCTCGCCACTGGAGGACGCCTCCGCGGAGTTGATCGCCTCCTCCAGCTCGGCGCCCAGGCTCTGGCCCAGCTCCTCGCCGAACTTCTCGGCCACGGCGCCGATCGTCACGTCCAGCGTGATGCGCAGCAGGGCGGCTGCCACGGCACTGCCCTCCGAGGATCCCGTGGCGCAGGCAACGCCGGTGCCGTCGATCTCGACCTGGCGCGGATCGCACATATCCTAGCTGAGTCGGCCAAACAGGCGCAGTGGCCAAACAAAGCGCGGTGACCGTGGGGGAGTGTGGGCTTTGAGCCGTGGCGCGGATCGGACAGCTTTTCCTGAACTGGGCGAAGTCGGCGCGGCAGCCAAAGTGGCCGCGAGGTGGTGGATGCTCCGGGCCAGCGCAGTGTCGGCGGAATTGAGCCCGCCCATCCGGAGGTGCCGTTGCTGAAGCCCTGGGGCTGTGTATCTTCACTGATACTGGTTGGTTGAGTGGCGAGTATCGAATATCGAGTATCGAATACCGAATATTGAATATTAAATGTTGTGTAGTTCCAGCGTGTTGGCTGATTAATCTGCGAATATTGAACATCGAATACCGAATATCGACAATCGAATATGTTGTGCATTTGCAGCGTGTTGGCTGATTAATCGGCGAATATTGAATATGGAATACCGAATATCGAGTATGGAATATTGAGTGTCGAATCAAATATCGAAATGTCGAATGGTTCCAGCGCCAGCAAGCTGGCGAGCCTGTGCGTTACAGTGTGTCGCGCGGTGGACGGGCAACAGGAGGACGGCCACGGTGAAGTTCGCCCAACGGCGCCCAGTGCCGCCCCGCCACGACCCTCCCGAGGGGGATCGAGGGGGGAAGGAGATCGCGATCACGGTCGCGGGCGGACGGCGGCCTACCGCGGTCTCGACGGCGGCGATGACGCTCGCGTGCGCCTGTGCCACGCCGTCGACCACCCCCTCCAACTCCGCGTTCACGCAGCCCTCCTCATCGGTCGTGAACACCGTCTCGCACCAGTCGACCACCACACTCTCGATCACGTCCTGGGCATCAGCCACGGCCTGCGACAGCGCAAAAGGGAAATTCTCTCTTTCGAATCTGAGCGTCACGGGGGTTGGAGACCGGATTCTGTCAGGGGAAGCGGGCGACGAATGCGCGGGAACTTGCGGGCGCAGCCCGGGCGATCGACTTTTAAAACGCGCTCGCGACCGTGAGTCGTGCTGCGCGCGGCAAAGGCGGGCAGAAGTCTTCGCCCCCACGGAGGGGATGCGCCCCGGTTGCTTTTGAAATCGAATCTCGCCCGCTGATTATCCGTGACATCTGAGAGAAGGGACATCCGCGAGCGCTTGGGGCGCCCCATGGACGACCCGATTTCAACAGATCGGCTCCTGCTGGCTCTTGAAGAGGCCTGGCTATCGAACTAGAAGCTTTCCTCCCGGGCAGGGCAGGGTCGTGCGCGAATAAAATACAATAGACAGATTCGATCGAAGCGTCGCCTCCGCCGCTGCGCCGCCGCGCGCCCCACCTTGCACAGCGACTTGGCCTGCGCCCTGCCGCTGCCGGAGTTGGTCAGGGTCAGCGTCGCGGTGGCGTCCGCCCTGCATCCAGTCTGCACCTGGTCCAGCAGGTCGCCCGACTGTGCCAGCCCTGCGAGCCACATCCCCTCCCTGCCCTCACATGGCGGCCATGGGCGGCGCACGGCGAAAACGGCGGCCGGATGCCGATCCGCGGGGACGCTAAAACGTGCAAGGCGGTTGCGGTCGAAGGGCGTCGGTGTTCCTTCTCCGAAGGGCACCGTCGAAGCGGCGAAGGGAATGATTGGCTTCGTGAGTGATCGCCAACCACGACGTGCGTTCAGATGATGAATTCAGTCCCCCACCTCGGGCATCGACCAGGGCGGCGATCGCCAGGGCGAGCAGGCAGGCTGCGGCCGCGCGGCGGGTCATGTCGCTCGGGCAGCCGAGGAGCGTTGGGCTGAGGGCGGGGGGTGGGTGGGTGGAGGAGGGGGAACTGGCGCCAGGGGCTTTTGCCAGAAAGCGGGACGGCTGGGGTTTAAGTACTCGCCCAAAGGGGAGGGGTCGGGGAGCGGTGCGCCGGCGCGGCGAATTCGCGGCGGCGGAGTGTGAATTTCTGACTGATGGGGAATGACGTAACGGGAAGAGTGACCGGTACGGCGCCCCATGGGCCGCATGCCCGCCGGCCCCTCTCCCCTCCGCCTCCGAGAGCGAGTCGGCTGGGGAAGAGCCGTGAGACACGCAGTGGGGAAGTTGTGCAATTAGGAATGGGGCAGATTAAGACGTTTTAGGACTAACGTTTTAAGAAGTTTTAGAATTGTAGCAAATCAAGGTAGAAGAGCTAGGTAGAAAGTGTGCGCGGGTGCGAAGTCCCTTGGGGCACGGCATATGTTAAATCCGACCCGCCCTTTGCCATTAACATTGGTGGCGCCCGCATAATGGCCCGATACGGTGGATGCATATATGGTCATCAGCCAGGCGCATGCGCAAACGCCAAAGTCGATGGTGCCCAATGTCCAGCGGGCACCTAGGGGAACTCCCCATGGGGCGACGACCGCTGCCTCATAACCGGTCCCTAGAAACGAGTCCCTAGACCCCTCTGCCGATGTGCTAGATCATGGAAGATCACTGCAAGCAGGTGGCCGACAAGGCCACGGCTAGACAAAATGGCAAATGGCCATGCGCAAAGCTAGGCAGCCGCACAATAAAAAATGCCACTCCCCCCAGGGTGGTACTCCACCCCACCCACCCATCGGTAGCCCCAAAGGCGGTGACTCACCGTGCTTGGGGTCAAAGATCGTTGGGTGGGGTGTGTTGCGCGGCAGCGCGCAACAGGGGGTGAGAGAGAGCTACCGGTGCGGGCGCT